TATAGTTAGGGCTGGTTCAGGTTTATAGTTAGGGCTGGCTCAGGTTTGCCTTAGACCAGTCCCTAGATAAGCTGCTATAGGCCTAGACTGCCGGGGGATTTCCCAGGATACACTGAGCTCCTCTCTGCTCTTCTCTCTCTCCTTCTGTATGAATTCATGTCCCATTAATGCTCATTACTAACTTTGCTTCTTCCCCAGAGTCTTTGTTCTTTCTCTCCTCACAGGTTTCCATGGATCGTGGTTATATCTGGACCCTGGTCCTGCCTGACATCCACTGCTACTATCATTATTATTAGTAGTCATATTTCTATTACTATTGCCGATACCATTATTTCTATATCCACTCCTGCTGTTATTACCAGTAATCGTAATGTTTCCATCATTATTCTGCTCACTACTCTCATTATATGAATAATTTCTGTCATATGCATTGAATGTGTTGTAATTCTGTTATGTTGTTCATTCTGTACACATGACATCTATCACACTTCTGTCCATCCTGATAGAGGATCCCTCCTCTGTTGCTCTCCCTAAGGTTTCCTCCTTTTTTTCTTCTCGTTAAAGGGTTTTTTGGGGGGAGGTTTTTCCTGTACCAATGTGAGGGTCCTGGGACAGAGGATGTCACATGTGTACAGATTGTAAAGCCCTCTGAGGCAATTGCGGTGTTTATACTCACAGGCAGAGTGATGTCTGTTCCTCGCCTCTTAGCAACCTGTGTCTCCCCATTGATGTAGATGGGCTCAACCGGTTCCAGCATTATTTCCTGGATCAGTTGATCGTCAAGGAAACCGGTCACCTGACGTGGTCTCACCAGGACTTTGAGCTGATGCCACTTTCCATCGTACAGAGTCTAAGAGAAGGCACAGATATTTCATAAATACTTTCGTTTTTTAAGGTTATCTCAAATACAAAGAAATATTTACTGGGAGTCTGTTCATTTATAAGACTGAAACATCGCATTCACAGTTGCATGAGAAAACAATCATTCATTTGTCAAACTTTTTTTTGTCAGTCTTATGTGTGCATGGGCTAAATCTAATTTAATGTTGTCAGTAAGACCAAAAATGTGTGCTCCCTAAATGCTTCACAAATAGTTATAACCAGCAAGGTATTAAGACTTCTTCCTTTTCCCTTCACAATCTTTTTTAAAGCTCCAACTATCCAGAGGGAGAGAGAGAAACAGAGCAGCAATTGTTTCATTGGGAGTGAGCCACAGCCATCATTTCCAAATGCAAAATCACAGGCACCTTGTGTCACATCAAATTAAATGTGCTAACATAATTACAACCCTGATGACCACTCTACGCTAGAGTCTAGGTGTGTGATAGGATGGAGGCTGGTGGCTGCCTTTTGGAAAACAAACAGCCCGGCGTTTCCAAGGACTACACATGCACCAACTACTTTCCACTGGGGACTCCAGTGGTTTAGGGAAGGAAATGTTTTCTTTGAGCCTACGCCTAGCTTCCATCACATGACATCTTCACTGGTCAAGCTGTGTGTTGAACTAAGAAGAAAATGATGTTGAAATAACTGATAGTTTGGCTCTCTGCAAGTCATCCATGTCAGGTTCATTCAATGAAACCAACAAGAAGGGAAACCCGAGATTGGAAGAGACCGAGTACACTCTAATAACACAGTAGCTCTTTCAGGGGTAGGACAATATAACAGTTTTTCGCATATTGTCCATTTTTGAGGATATTATTCAAGGTGTAAGTCTAAGCAGCTGCATTAACTGAGTTAGACTCTCACTGCATCAAGCCTGGTTATTCTGTCTCAATTATTTTTATTAAGTTACTGATAAGCTGAGACATAATATGCTAACATGTTGGGATACCTAGCTTTACAAGACACTTCAAAATCATACATGCTAGATCCAAAATGCTGTGTATACATTTTCAAACAATACTAAAACATGTTCAAAAGTAAATACAACAAATTTGAGTAATTTAGAAAATCAGATTCCTAAGTATTTTGTGTATAAAATGTATAAATCATGAAACAAACTATGTACTGTATCAGACAGCAACATTCATAATAAATATTGATTCAATAATCCAACCTTCCTTGTATTACAGGATGTTGAGACAAAACTTAAACACATTTCATATTTTGATCATCTATACACCAGAATATGTCAGGGTTTTTCAGAGCATTTAATGAGAAACTGAGACTGTATGAAAAATACTACAGGATGCCCGAGTCCTGATTATTCTTAGCCAGAGGGAAAATCCCTATTCTTAACTGTGCAAATGAAGATGTTTGGCTTATTTTTAAGTGAGATGTAATATGATTTAGGGGTAAGCTTCTGTTTAATATGTATATATGACATTCATTTTGGTCTGGTTGAATTACCATTACAGGAATTCATTCCTATTTATTCAGGAAAACAAAGTGATAGCCAGTCACATTAGTAGCTCTGCCATGTTTGTCTTGATTGACAGATATAAATAAATGAACAGTTGGGAAAAATTGTGTTGTAAAATAAAAACTAAATTAGTAAAAGGACAGTTGAAATCAAAACTTGAAAATAAAATAAAATTACCTGCAACAAACATTAATGTGAAAAGAGGCTAGATGAAGCTACATTTCACAATAATGAGCTGAATTTAATGCGATTATTTTTTTCATTATTTCACAATTAAATTGTTAGGTAATATATTTTGTCTGTCTTCCATTACGTCTTATTTATTTATTTAGTTTTGAACACTTTGGGTCCCTTATAGAAAACATCCAGCTGTGTAATGCTCCTGGTTGTAGCCTTACCTCTCCATTATTCCAAATCATTCTGTTTACTTCTATTGTATATGTAATGGTCATGGATTGGATCAGCTGACAGATCTCAGGCTTTTTCACACTTGGTCATATTGGGAAAAGAGCATTTGTCAGTACTTGGAGATCAAATCCCGGCCAAAAGCCATGTTGTTCTCGCATGAACATCCAACTCAATCCTAATACCAACCTGAAAGCCGGCTTTGAAGATGACTCTCTGCTCCTTTTCTGTTGTACTGGTAGTGCTGAAGATGACAGTTTTGTCCTTCCCACTTAGTGTCACTGCAGCCTGGATCTCCTTATCCTTAGACAGCACCCTCCAAAGATCAAAGGTCAGCTTGCTAGAAGACCCCTTTAGACGCAGGGTGGCTACGAACACATAGGAGGGAGGGAGACCCTCTGGGAAGATATCCCTAGTACAAGGAAGAGGTCAAGTTACTAAATACAAACAATAGTTGATTAAATTAAATGGAAAAGGGGGGAAATTGATAGGTTTTTAATTCTGTCATTACATTACAACATTCTACCTGGTATTCTCAGTAATGTCTGTGGAGGCAGTCATAGCGTAAGCTGCCTCAGAAAGCAGAGAGCCAGCGATCTTCTTGGCCTTCTTCTGAATGTTCATGCCCAGCATCAGCTCAAAGCCTTTCTCATCACGAGATGCCACCGGGATTCGTGTTGGACACACAGACTCTACAAAGAAAAAAGGGTCCATTCATTCAGCGTTATTTGGTGGTGGAGGCTATTGACTTGTATTTGTGGACAATTGAATTTTACTTTTTATTGTTGAATTTCAGCTTCAGCTTAACAGTGAACCATAATGCAAACATGGAACGGGCACTGAAACTAAAAAGATGAAGCCAGTTATGTTTTGCTTCCTTCTGCGCTTTCCTCAAGTCTGTCTTGCCATTTTCAGTGAGAAATGACAACATGTTGACCTAATGTAGGCTAACAAGGTACACGATTACATCCTTATTGAAAACATTTGAAAAGGTTTATTACCTTTTGGGCGATCAATGAGTTATGTATATTTCACACATCAAGCACAACAACATTAGCATTCATTGGCAGTCATGTTTCTGGCTGCATTTTGTCCAATATTCACTCACATTCTGTCTCTCTTTTGGCCTTCACCAACTACTGAGAAAAATATCTTGCTCTTTCGCTACAGGTACCTTGCTTTAGCTGTTAGCTGAGACATTTTTGACTTTCTTTAACAGCTAAAGTAGCATTATTTGCTAACTATCTATTTGCTGTTTGGTGCAGATCAGCTCATATGCTAAGTGACAAGAAACTTCTGCCAATATCAAAAATGTGAAATAATATCTGCTCAGTCAGTCACAACATAGTATAAGTAATAGAGTAATGGAAAGTGGGAGGAACTATCAGGTGCTCCTGGCTCCAGAAGTCCCACTCATTTATAATTAAACTCATTGCCAAAACAAAAACCTGTATGATGGACATTATCTGTGAGAGTCCTATATTTTTTTTTTAAGCCAGGAGAATTGAGAACATGCCTGATACACATGTCAAGAAGATAGATAAACTAGATATCCCAACCTTCACAGAGCTTTTGCTCCATGGAACCTTGAATACGCTCAATGGTAGTGTAGTCTTCGGCATACAGGACATAGGCGGATGATGGTCTATTGGCGATGGATACCAGCTCCGAGGTGGTGATCTCACTGCCAACTCCAACAGCAAATACTGTAATGCCCTGAGCTCGTGCCTCCATACTGGCATCCACCTAAAGAAACATAGGCTGTGGTGAAAATGAGCCCCCGGTGGTAAAGAGGCTTTCCAGGGTTTATGTTTGAAAAACAGTATGACAAAATACAATTAACAATATTACTGCTTACAGCTTTCACCAAAATGCCAAAGTGTTATGACCCGATGCTGGATTGTGTTTTCTTGTTCTTTACTTCACACTTCGATATGACTATGCCACTATGATTTGGGCCACCCAGATCAACTTGACTTGGTTTCACTCAAGCACTTTTGAACACAGCAAAGTGACATTTACCACGTCATCCTGAGATTTGCCGTCAGTAACCACGACAGCGATGCGATTCTTCACCTGGCTGGCTCTGTGGGAAGAGGCAAAAACGTGGTCCACGGCAAACTTGATGGCCCTGCCGGTCTGCAAGACAGTCAGAGAACAGTGATGAGCTGGTGGAGTGAAGGAAAAACTCTCCACAACCGGCCTGCTCCACTTTATTAGTTTCTTGTTTCTGGGTGTACTGGAGCATTTTACATGTAGCTCTGTGTCATTCTTCTGCATGCAAGTGCCCCGATCAACCAGGAGGAGTCATTAGTGCAGCAACCAGGTCATGTGTGGACATAGTGTTGAAGTAATACAAATATATGTAAATAATCACATGAATACAATATCAATAAAAATAAGTAAGTGAAGAATTGTTCAAACTCATTCATTATCATGAAATCATATTTTATTTTCATTAAAAATGAATTTTATTAAATATCATATGATTTAATTATAGAGATTTTTCTCAATTACAAAACAAAATGTATATCTTGATGTAACTTTTCAAAGCGCCACTTTTTCTTTCCTGCTGTCATTTTTTCCCCAGTGTCACCACCTTCTCACCATCCAAAAAGCTGCTGATGCTCATAGCCTACTAGCTAGATTGGCTTTTGGCTATAAAACACCCATTCTTGTACCCAGCAAAGAGACAAACCACACCGACCGGACGGGAAAACAATCTGCGCCGCAATACGCAACCAGAAACAAAACACAATGCCTACATCTAAAAATGTTAGCTATCAGCATGTCAAAGGAATATTCTAGCACAGAGGTCTTCAACAGCGGGTCCGCGGAGGTACTGCAGGGGGTCCGCAAAATGTTTGGTTGATTAGACAATTTAAAAAAAAATTTTGTTTTCTCTAAACATGAATCTGTCCATTATTTTAATAGTTCAGTATTGTATGCAAGATAACAGGTAGGCTATGTTTATAAATGGCAGTGGCACGGCCACCCTACTCACTGTACCTTGCACATGTTTAAAATAAAAACATGAATATATGAACCTGTGTATTATTTGAATAGCTTAGTATTGAATGCACAATAAAGAGGCATGTTTATACACGGTACTAGGCCCATTTAATATAAAACACAATTTTATAAAATATATATAGTCGGGGGTCCCTGCTCCATCTCTATCAGTTTGGGGGTCCTTGGCCTGAAAAACATTGAAGACCCCTGTCTAGCATACTATGTCTACCACCGGTGCAATTGATAACTAAAATGATGATTGGATGGGACAAGTTAAGAGCTAATGCTAGCTATGTGTTAGCACGTTACTGTAGATATTTAGGGCAAACATAATGCCTAGTTTTCTGATGTATCTGCATTGCACTTTAGCACAAGTTGCACACTGTCTTACAGAAATAGAGTTGGCCTAAAACTGACATTGGGACAAAATATTTTTAAATTATGTGTCACATTTGTTTTCACTTAGTGAAGAGCAAGAGCCTTATTTTTGAGCTCTCCAACAGTTCAGAATTGTTATATATTCTTATAATACCTGCATGCAAATTAGGACAGATAAGAGCTGTAGAGAAAACATGCTGTCCTGCCTGTGTGTTTCCTCCCAGGTAGGTGATGCTCTGTATGGCCTGGATGAGCTTCGCTCCACCCTGGTGTATCCCCAGAGGAATCTCCAGTCGAGGAGTGTCGCTGTACTGGATCACAGCCACCTACAGCAGACACAAACAAAACTAGGTGTAGTGCAGATTTACTGAAGCTCTGTGGCACTTGGAATGGGCTATAATGGTATAATAATGCTATGCTTTTTCTCTATCAAAGCTGGCAACCAAAACAGAAAGACAGTGTTCTTGATACGGGCCATAATCAAACTGCAAGTTAATGGAAAATTGCTGCTAAATATGGATGGAAATAACAATCTCAGCACAAGGAATTTCATATGGTTTAAATTACCTGTGTGTAGTGGGAGCTGATGTCAAATTGGCTGGTGATGTTGATAAGCCACTGTTTGGCCGTTTCAAAGTCAGAGAAGCCAACACTCCATGAGCCATCAACAATATAGACCAGGTCATTTACAGCTGTGCTACAGCCTACACACACACACACACACACACACACACACACACACACACACAGAGTAATCAAAGACACATCTTAGAAAGCAAAGACAGATAATCTAAAAATCTACATTTCAGACTCAAGAGTTGAGTGTCGAGCACTGTTATGGTTTAGAGTGATCCCTACCTGCTCGGACGTTGTCCTCTGCAGCCTCCAGGTGGGCCAGTAGCATTATTGTGCTCCATAATGACCACAGCAACATGACTCCGTAGGAGAGCTGTCGAGTCCAACCTTGCTAAATTAGTGTTAAAAAAACAAGGATTTCAATAACGGATATGGATGGATGGATGGATAATCATTTTTTTCTAGCCCCCATCAGTTCAACATTTCCAACTGACCAAACCCCTTAGTTGACAGATAATGTCTTTAAGTAATGACCAATATCAAATGAAATCGTTTTAAATAAGGCTTCTAGGGGCCACCAGATACACATTCAGACTTTTAGCAGACTTTTTTCAAAAACTGCTCTACAGGAATGTGCTACGGTTTTTGTTTAATTTTGTCCTTATTTTTCTTCTTCTTCTTCTTCTTGTGTAGCAAATGGCTACAACTGCATTTTGTTTTGCAACCCTCTGTTGCATAATGACAATAAATTGTCCATGAATCCTCGATGGAAATGCAAACAGGAATCCGTTTAGTTCCTGAGTTTTCTAGTTTCAACAGGCTCCTTCGTTCCTTTAAGTATTTGATTGAAGAGGGCATTGGAAGAGTAATTTAACACAAAGCTGAATGTGACTGTTTTGTTGACTTCTGTGGTCATTTGACTAGCACAAGACATTTTTGTATTATTTTTTTCTCTCCCACATACAACCGCCACTTCATCTGTAAGGCCAGGACCCCGATCTGACCTGCCAAGCCGAGCATATCTGGCAACTACACCGGTCGTCGCCATTTTAGCAATGGCGGCATATCCTAATTTACGGCTTTCCAAAAAGTTGCAAAGAGCCGGATTGTCAGTGGCGCTGAGACGGTCCCGGGTGACGCAGCAGAGGAGACAGTTAGCGCTGGGCGACCTGAAACATCACCCACCTGTCACTCAAAGTGGCCACACCCTTCATTCTGCAGAACTTTAAGCCTTAATATGATTTAAGCGGGTGAGCTGTATCAAAATTCACTTCAAGTTGGCAATTTTAATATGGAGGTCTATAGAGTTAGACTCGCGTTTTGAGCCAGCTTAGATGAACTGCAGTTTTTGTCACTTCCGTGTTGGCTTCGTTTTTCAGCAGCAGAGGTTACCTCTTGATGAAACCATATCACGTCCAAAAAGTTACATGCAAGTTCTCAAGCATGTTTCTGAAGTCTTGAGACTTTGTATTCCTTAAAACAAATATATACACACATAATAAATACAGTAAAAATACACAAGTGTATGTGTTTCTACAAAATAGCAGGACGAGATGAGTACTATGTTGGAAGTCCATAAAAAGTCCATTGAATAGACTGTGTTATAATGTTGAGTTGGCACATACTCTATATGACATATGACTGGCTTGTGAAATCACATCTCTCTTAATTTGTCCACTGTCCTCTCCTCCTCCTCTTTCCTGTAAAATGCTTTTGCGAGTTCTCATATTGTGCCATGCGACATATGGTTTAGTAGCCTAGTGTGTTCTGCAGAGCTCTCCCTGTGTTCATTTTGCAGAGCAAACATGGATCCACAGACCACAAGGCTGGGCCGGAGAAAATAACAACGTGGGCACTATGCTGGGATGGGAAAACAGAAATATGAGCATGGCAGAGATGGCTGCAGTGTGCTGGCAAAGGCTTTAAAGACAGGGGAGGATCAGTCAGCTGAAGAGAGAACAGCCACCACAACCTTTCTTTTTCAAAGTCTCCTCCCAGCTCCAGTAACTCTCTTTTTCTCTCTCTCTCTCTCGCTCTCTCGCTCTCTCGCTCTCTCTCTTGTTTGGCTTGTTATTATAGAACCATATTACACCAAGGTACTTCTACATGTGAATTAATTTGTTTGCAGTGGTTAACCCAAAAACAATTGGTTATAAAGTAAATGTTGCGATGTGCAAAGACTACAGTTGAAATAATAATACTAAAAAAAACAGTTCAGTATGGTTTCCTGCTTGTAGAGGTGCTTTAACAAGTACAATAAATGAATATGTAAATTGTAAATGATATCTAAGAGCTAATATTTTTGCATCACTGCCTACATGTGATGAATTAATCGACAACACTAACTAACTTAGTCATCATAGTGTCTAAATGCACAGTCAACATGGACACGTTTCCTCCAAATAGATTGCATGTGGGCAAGATGGGCTTGAAATAGGCGAACAGTAAGTGCCTTGCAGGGGCTAATTGCAGTCTGTGTGCTCGACATAAGAACCATATGTGTTCAATATGGGATGATTGCATGGGCCTCTACTGTGTTTCATGTGGGGAACGTGACATGTTTTGAAAGCGTCCCATTTCCTAGCCATTGATTTAAAGTGGGCCAAATGCTCACTTTATTATGTACATTGTGAAATGTATTATCCCCAAGTGAGTCTATACAAGTTGATAAATTAAGCCAGTTTCACCAAGCAATATATGCGATAAGTTACAAAAAAATGGGTTTTTAAATAATTTACAGTGACTAAGTTTCCATCCAAATGTATCTCAATTTAACCGAATTTTGAGAATATCAGCAAAATGTATTTTTCCATCCATCCAGTTATCCATCCATGCAATTATTAGGAGTTGGTTCATTGAGTTAAGCAGTCGCCAATTCTGCAGTCTGAAAATCGTTATACCGCAGCAGAAGAAGAGGGCACAAAAGAGATGATGTGATTAAAAGAGCACCATTCCAACCTATAACTGTGAAAACAGGGAAGAAAGCTGCGGAGAAGTGACATTTCTGTTTGTTTCACGTATTAATGTGAGGAGGGTAACATCAGATCTTTGTGGGGCAATGAGGTGAAGATTTTAATCCACCTCAGCAAAGCAGAGCTTCAGTGGATATTGAAGTCACATGCTTCATGCACATCAACAGTTCCACGCCAAATCTGTTGCCTTTGACTTTTCCACATCAGCCAAGCGTTTGGCTGATATTTGTGCAAGATTTCAAGACTTTTTTGGAAATTTTCTGTTCGATTCCAGACCATTTTCCTCTCAGGTCTGTTTTATGCTCAAGTGTGTGTAAAACAGGTGCATGGAGACGCAGCTTGTGTCTTTGGATTGACTGGCACTTTGTTTGCCCTCTAAATTGGACCAAGTGTGTTAATGTGTATATTTTGCTCACCATACAAACTGTGAACATGCAAGCAAACAAATCCCGTTCAAACGTAATTGGTCAATATTACTCGGACTACAAACAAGACTCAAACAGAAACCAGAACGCCTCTGCTACCTAAATTTTGTCCCGTTGCTGTTTATAGAGATTAGTATAGACCTAACCAAACCAAACCTTAACCACCACGATGGCAGATCAGGACACTTTCACATGATCGAGATTTCACATAATTGTGATTTGTAAAGACAAGACCTGACAATGGGATGCCAGATCAGAAAACTAATATGGCTTGATTTCAAAGGCAATGACAAAATTACGTATTTTGTTGTTTAGCCGAGAGGAAATTCTTAAACATTGATGAAAACTGGTGCCATCATCGCATTGCGCCTTCTTTTTCTGCAGTGGTTTGATGGCATCTTGAGAATTAACTCCACCGACTGTTGATCCTGATGTGTAGGCTACAGCTCCCAATATTCACATTAGAAATGGCATTAATTCTCTTTTTCTTTTCTAAGAATTTGGTTAAAATGTGCTCTAAATTCTGATGGAAATTTGACTATGATTGCACAAACTTTTTATAGCCAACTGTCTCCAATGGTCAGCCCTACGGCAGCTCTACATTCAATTCTGTGGATGTCATAAATCAGTCCAGCCAGATCTCTTAATGTATTTGTGCCAATACAGGTTTCCCTAAGTACCATATGAGATCCAGGAAAACAGTATTTCTGCTCCAGAAAATATGTGTCACTCATTGATATCCGGTGCCTCCTAGTGTACAGGTGTTTGTTTGAGGACAGATCGGTCACAGTGCAACAGAAAACCCAGGAGAACATGGTGGGAAGGACCAGGAGTCAAACCACATGGTTGTGAGGCCACAATGAATAGCACTGAGACAACATGCCACAGGAGAATGTTTCAAATGTTTCACGATGTCTCCACCAGGATCCTCGAAAAGATCCTTCCTTGCATCCATCTATACATCCTCTCCTCTGTGCCGTACTCTTTCATTTTAAAGCATGCTAGTCATTACAAAAACACACAGTGGGGATAGGCAGGTAGTGAACCTGAATTCTTCCAAACTTCACTCCACATTTGGCATACCACAAGTGCAGCATACCAACCCACATCAACCATCCCCGCTGGCTGCAGCATCACAGAACATTCCTTGTGCACAGATGTTGTTGGGATTGCTCAGCGCCTCTGGTTGGTTCACGAAACAAAGATGACTGCAGAGAGCAACTCAAGCACTGCCATATATTCCTTACATGATCCACTGTACCTGGCTGATGCCTGAGAATATTCTTTGGTCATTGTATTCATTGTATTGCATTGTATTATTATTATTATTTTATTATTATTATAAGATGTAGGGTCTGACAAGATATCCTTTTGTCAATGTGGTGAAGTTGAATCAAATACCTTTTCAGAGACCAGTGTTTTTGCATGTTGAAGTCTGTTTATTGTAACTTACAAATAACTACTCACCATTTTCCAGAGCATGTTGTGCATCTTATTACATTATGCTGTGATTTCACAACTTTTATTCATTTTGTTTCGTAATGACATTAAAGGACCCAATGACTGTTTGAAGAGTGAGTAAAATGTATAACACAATCTCAAATGCAATCATTGAAAAATGATTGACTGAGTGATTAAGTGTGTTTCCATCCACCTTTTTTATGTGCATTTCTAGTTTTCACATACCCCTCAGTGTGAACAAAGGTTGGTGTATGGATGGTTCCATCTCGTTCAGCCATCTTCAGCTGCAATTAATGGCAAAGTGTGCCCAGTGTTCCCAAGTCCGACTTTCTGGAGATTCTTTTAAGATTTGCACTACATTTGGATGACTAATGATGTACTTGTTTTGCAGTAAGTTAGGTTTATTTGAATTACTAAAACATAGTCATTTTGACTGAATCAGGGTAGAATGTATAGTGGTATGGTCACAAATAGGGCTAGCAAAAACACTGATATGGTCATATAAAGGCATCCCGTTCTCAGTCCTAACGTGT